GATGAGTGAATCACTCACTGCTTCCTCTGCTTTTCTTCCTTCCTATTTCCCCTCTGTTACTGGTGTCTGGTGGAAGGAAATGAGCTCTGGAGTCAGATCCTTTGGTTTGAGTCCCAGCTCTATCACTCACCAATTTCATGACCTTGAGCAAATACATCACTTAACCTCTCTGAGCTTTCCTGTCAGTGTCTGGTGGAAGGAAATGAGCTCTGGAGTCAGATCCTTTGGTTTGAGTCCCAGCTCTCTCACTCACCAATTTCATGACCTTGAGCAAATACATCACTTAACCTCTCTGAGCTTTCCTGTCTGCCAGATGAAGATAATCAAACACTATACATGAAGTCATTGGGAGACATGAACGAGATAACATGTCAGCTGGTGCCTGGCATAAGATCAGATGGCCAGTAAACGTTACCGCCTTTCCTATCTGCATCTGCCGCACGGTCACTACACCCAGGACAAACAGTAGCCACAGCAAGATTTACACACGCTGAGCTTCTGCTTCCTGCTGCAGTCACCTTGGACGCGTGGCTTCACTTTGTTGAGACTCAGTTTTGCTGTAAGTGAAAGTACAGGTGATAATGTGATAGTGTTTCCTTATAGGATAAAATAAAGAATTTAATAAGCACGACACAGAGCAATGATAAGGGCCAACAACAGACAGCACTTAGAAAACCTTCACTCCTGCTAGATATTGGGATTATTATTACTAGGAACCACCTCTAGGCAAATCCAGGGGACAGGATAGAACTATTGGCAGACTGCAGATTCCAAACTGTCCCCACCTGGGGTGGGAACTCTCGCTGCCTGGGGGCTCTCTGCCAGCATTTCCAGAAGCTGTCCTCAAGGCAGGATGTGGTAGCAAGGGTGACATCTGGCCCAGCAGCCCCAAATCTCCCCCTGGAACTCCAGACTGGCAGAACCAACTCCATGTGGCCACTGGGATGCCAACCAGGCGTCTCCCATCTGATGACGAGCACTGGAGTCCACCTTCTCCACACCCTGCTCCTCCGAGGAGGACAGAGCCTCCCTCTCCTTGCAGGGCTCAGGCCACAGGACCAGAGTCATTCCTGGCTCCTCTCCTCTCTCCCGACACTCCCTCCATCGGCCTGTCCCGGCAGCTCTCCTGCTACCAACATCCAGGAGCCGAGCCCTTTTCTTGCGGCTGTTGGTCCCCCTCTCACCTGCATTACTGGGGTGACCTCCTGACACTGTCCTTGCCCCTCTTTGGTCTACTTTCAACTGGGCACCATGAGTGCTCTTGTGAAGCATAATTCATACCATTCCTTCAGCAGTTACTTACTGAGCACCTGCTGTGTGCCAGGCCCAGGTCCAGGCTCTAACAGCCTTACATCTTCCCCTGAGCCTACAGGGAATCCTCCGGCCTGGTCTCCTCCCCTCCCTGCCCCTACCCACAGCCTCAGCCTGCTCCCACCTCAGGCCTTTACCCCTGTGGGTGGCCCCCTCCCTACCTGGAAGGCTGCTCCTCCAGGACCTGGGCAGGCTCCCGTCCTCACCTCCTTCCAGTCTTTGCTGAAGCAGCAGCACCTCAGTGAGGCCTTCCCTGACCCCCTTATTTATATTTGCCACTGCCCCCCAACTCCCAGCTCCACTTCTCTACTGGACACTTGTCATCATTGACATTTGATTGCCTTTCCTCTGCCACCCACACTACTGTGTAAGCTCTTCGAGGGCATGGCTTTCATCTGTTTTCTTCACTGTTGACTCCCCAGCACCTAGAACACTCCATAGATATGCACTGAATGAATGGAACACAAGCGTCAAAGTCTTCAGATCTGTTTCACATGTCTGCCTCCCTCAGAACCCTGAGCCCTAGCAGCAGATATCTGTCATACCAGGCTTTGTGCCAGGTGCTGGGGATACTATAGGAACAAGCTGCCTAGGTCCCTGCCCTGCAGATGCTGCACCCTTTCACCCCAGTGCCCAGCCCATGGAGACTGGCTCTGGTGTGCTGGCTGAAGCTGTGCTGAAGTCCCACCAACTCCCCATCCCCTGTGCTGCCAAGCCCCTTTACACCTTCCTGCCTTTGCCCATGGTTTCCCTGCCCCTCTTGAATGTTGGGAGCCATTCCCTGAGGGTTGGGTGTGGCCCAGCAGTGAGGGGTCACCATACCAGCAGCCCTGGTGGGCCAGGGGGCTCTGCGCCCAGTGGGCCTGACTGGCCACTGCCTGTGTTTGCAGAGATGGTTGGCGTGGGCTGCGTCCTAGACGGGGTACGCTACAACAATGGCCAGTCCTTTCAGCCCAACTGCAAGTACAACTGCACATGTCTCGATGGCGCGGTGGGCTGCACACCACTGTGCCTCCGCGCACGCCCCCCACGCCTCTGGTGCCGCCACCCCCGCCGGGTGACTGTGCCTGGCCGCTGCTGCAACCAGTGGGTGTGCGATGACGATGCCAGGAGGCCACGCAAGAACATACCACGTGATACAGGAGCCTTAGGTGGGTGTGGGCCTGGGGGGGGCCAGGGGTGGGATTTGGACCCTTCTGGAGCTCTGACCACCTGTGAATGACAAGCCCCTGAGTCCCATTCCCCAGTCCACCACTTACTAACTGTATTCCCTTGGGAAAGTCATATCTCCTCTGGGACCCTATTTCCCCATCCATAAATGGAAATAATACCGTCTGTCCTGCCTGTCTTAGGGGATCCTTCAAGCATAGAATGAGGAAGTGCTTTTAAAGAACAAAGTCATGCCCATGCAATTCATTATTATCCAAGAAAGAGTCTAGGTGGTGGGTGGAGTTGAAGGGAGGGTGGGTGTGTGTGGGTACCTGGGGAGGGGAGGCATGAGCGGCAGGTGCAAGGACAAGAGGTGGGAGATGAGTCTAATAGAGGCTTCTTGCTGACATGAAGCTTCACCCTTGCTATGGAGCATGGGTGGACAGGTGAGGCTTCAGCCAGGTGAGCCAGAAAAGAGGAAGCCCTGGAAAGGGAGGGCAGGAACAGGACTGTTTGTTTCACCACTGCTTACTGGAACCTAGCCTAGTGCCAGACACTTAGCAGCTAGCCAACTAATGTTTGTCATATTGGTAGATGGATGGATGGATGGATAAACGGATGTGTTGATGGATGGATATACAGATAGATGGATGAAAGGATGAGTGGATAGATGGATGGATAGATGGATGGATGAATGGATAGGTGTATGTATGTATGTATGAATGGATGGATGGATGGTAGATAGATGAATGATAGATGAATGGATATATGAATAAATGGGTAGGTGGATGGATAGATGGATGGATGGATGGATAGATGAATGGTGGATGGATGGATGGATGGATGGATGAATGGTGGATGGATGGATGGATGGGCAGATGGATAGATGAATGGGTTGGTGGATGGATGGGTGGACAAGATGAATGGTGGATGGATGGATGAATGGATGGATGGGCAGATGGATAGATGAATGGGTTGGTGGATGGATGGGTGGACAGATGGATAGATGCATGGTGGATGGATGGATGGATGGGCTAATGAGGATCTTAACAAGGGCAGTGGGAGTAGAGGTGGTGAGGAGGGGGAAGATGCAGGAGATATTGCTTGAGAAAGACTGAGGTCTTGTTGCCAATCCAGTGCACAGGGTAAAGGAAAGAGAGGAGTAGAGAATGACTTCCAGGGCTCGTCCTGGCCTAGCATAAAATACAAGAGATGGAGCACTTTGGGGCGAAGGGGATCTGCTTTGTTTAAGACAGGTTGAGTTTGAGGCAGGGTGTCTTGCCCATGGTATCCTAAGGCACAGCATCCAGTGGGGCAGCTTGGAAGAGGGAGAGGGGCAGAGAGTGAGCTCTGGAAGGCATCTGCCTGGGGCAGCTGATAGAGGTGGGTGGGGCTGCCTAGGGATAATATGCAGGGTGAGACACAGAGGGCCTGGGGCAGAGGTCTGAGGAGGCTGACCTTTGAAGGACTGACAGAAGAAGAGGAGGCAAGGGAGAGACAGAGGGGAGGAGAGGGATGTAAGAGGAAAACTGAGTGTCTGATACCATGGAAGACGGTGGATGAGGATATTTCTAGAGGAAAGCATCTACCAGGCGAGTGGACACGCAGTGGTGCAGAAATGGCAGTAGAGTTCGGGAGTTCCGAGAGCATTCGTCAATTTCTAGAATTGTGAGTGTGAGAGATTGCTCAGGGACGGTGCAGAGCAGGGCTTCTCACCCTCGGCACTGTCTGCACTTCGCACCAGATGGTTCTTTGCGGTGGGGGCTGTCACGTGCATTGGAGGATGTTTAGCAGCATTCCTGGCCTCTACCCACTAGATGCCAGTAGCATCCCTCCCCCTCCCCCGAGTCATTGGCCACCAGGCACACTCCAGACATTGCCAAAGTGTCCTGCAGGACACAACTGCCGCCGTGGAGAAGCAGTCTATATAGATGACAGGAGGTGGCAGGGAAAGCTTGTTCCCTAGCAGGCCCAGGGCTGCAGGACAGCTGTTCCCTCAGCAGGGCCACAAGAGGGTCATGGGTGGGCTCGGGGGGCCATTGTGTGTGGCCCGGTGACCCAGTTCTGACCTCGCACAAGCAGAGCCCCTGCAGAGCTGAGATGACCCAGAAAGCAAAGCCCTTTTATCCTCCTAGGCAAATCCGTCCCCACTCCCACCGCCTCCCAAGTCGCTCCCAGCCCAGCTCCTCCCAGCCCGGCCCCTCCCCGTCTGTCCTCTGTCTCTCAGTCCTTTCAATCTCTCACCCGCTTGTCCCTGAGAGGGCACTGACTCCGCATCTCTTTCTCCTTCTGATCCCAGCTAGGTTCCTCTTCTTTCCTGTTTCTCTCTCTTTCCTCTCTTCCCCTCCGCCCACACATTTATTACTTTTCTCCCCCCTTGCCTCGTTCTCTCTCACTCCCTCCCCTGCTCTCTCCCCCTCTGTTCTCTGCCCTTCCATCTGTCTTTCCATCCCTTTTCTCTCTGCCCATTCCTTTGTCTCTGGCTTCCTGTGCACCTGTGTGTCCTCATGGGACCAGCCTCCTTTTGGGGACTTGTTCTTGTGTGTCTTGTTCCATCTTTCTGTGGGAAGCTCTCTGTCTTACTGGCTTCTTACCTGCCTCTGTCTCTAGCTTGCTGCCATTCCCATGTTTCAGAGAGTGAACAAGCACCCACCGTGTTCTAGATGCTGGGGAGACATAGATCAACGTTGGTAGAGTCGGGAGCCGAGTTAGCCAGCAGTCAGGTAACCACATGCTTCAGAACGGCTTGAGCGCTTTCACACGTGTGAAGTCACCTTTTCTGAACACATCCTGGAGGGAGATGCTGTTGTCTACCCCACTGAAGGTGTGAGCTAGCCAGCTGGAAGTGACACAGCCAGTAAGTAGCAGTGCTGCTACTAGAACCCAGGCAATTTGCCTGTGAAGCCTGTATGTCCCCTTAACCACCATGCCATCACATTACTGAGATGAAACATTAAGTGCTAGCATGGAGGTATACGACTTTGAACTTCCCACAAATAAACTTAGTCTCTACAGAGGCAGGAACAATGTATTTTTAACCTCTTATTCCCAGCACGTAGCAGGATGCTTGATATACACTTCATCAAAATATAAATGTTTTTATTGTCCCACCAGCCCCACCAGGCAGATATTATTCTAGTGAGGAGGCTGAGGCCCAGAGTGAGCTATCTATGATCACACTGCTTGTAGGCGTGAACTTACAGGATTTGAACTTGAGTCCACCTGTCTCTAAAGATAGCTGTCCTTCCATGCTTCCAGGCTGCCTCTCTTGAGCAGAAAAATATAAGGACCTTAGAACATGCCTCCTCTCCCTGCGTACCCATGCTGCTTAAAGCCAACTTGCCCTTGTGGAAGGAAGGACAGCCAAACTCTCTCTCTCTTTGAGTTTTGGGGACCCCAAACTTTACTGGGGTGAGTGTGAGGGTTGGGGGCTGGTGGAGGCTGGAGACTCATGGGGAATCTGGTCCCTACCATAGTGGCTGAGGGCAAGATGGAGCCATGGCACAGGAACTGCTTAACCTACACGAGTCCCTGGAGCCCCTGTTCCACCAGCTGTGGCCTGGGCATCTCCACTCGGGTCTCCAACATCAACGCCCGGTGCTGGCCTGAACAGGAGAGTCGTCTCTGCAACCTGCGGCCTTGTGGCGTGGACATCCGTCCGCACATCAAGGTGGGTCCAGGGCAGGGGCGGGTATCTTGGACTTAACAAGCAGACAAACCAGGCTTTGAGCCTGGCTCCTGAACTTCTTCGTGGGGGCCATTGTAAAATGGTGATGATTAAGCCCACCTGGTAGGTTATTTGGGATTCCACGTCATCAGGCTGGTGCACTGTGAATTTCACTCAATGGAAGCTTTTGTGGTTGTCATATTACTAGCATAATCAAAGTCAGTCTAGAGAAAACTCAAGGAGCCTAAGAAGTGCTCTTCTGTAATGGTTCTGGGGAACCCTCACCAACTTCCATCCTCCCTCCAGTCCTGGGCCGACCCATACCCACCTGCTCTAGCACATATGACAATCACTGTGGGTGACATGAGGAGCATTGAATAGGTCTCAGGACACCTGGACTCAAGTGCCTATTTGCTGCTCATAGCAAATGACTGTGGCCAATCTCCTCCCACCTCTGAGCCCCAGTCCCCTCATCATTAAAACATTGGAGTTGATCTCTGAGACCCCTTCCAGATTTGATGGTCTAAGATAATTAAAATAAAGCATCAAGGATGTATTGAGCCTCAGGAGACTGAGCCCTGGCCTTCAGAGTTAGAAACGGATCATGTTTGACTAACTCAAGGCATCCTGCTCATGCCTTAGCACTGCCTGGTGTCCCATTAGAAGAAAACAAAACTCAGCACTGATTGCATTGTCCAAACACTAATGGTCTCTTGGGGATGCTGAGGAGAGGGTTGCCCAGTGGACAGGACAGCTGGCTTCCCCTGATCCTCGTCAGACATCTGACATTGCTCCTGGTGCCCTGGACAGCTTCTCCAGTGTCTCTACGTCAGTCAGCTGGATCCTCCGCCCCCCTCTCTTCTCTCTCTCCTTTTTCCTCTGATCATTTCCCCTTTTCGTGCTAGCCTTTGTACTCTTGGTGCTTGCTACACAGCAGGCACTCGGTAGACATCTCTTAACTGAAAGCATGAATGGAGAAGTGCCACGAGCAGGAGGAGGGGAGCAGAGGCCTGTGCTGGGGGCGGCGTGTCCACCACGGAGCTGACGCAAGTGTCTCGCTGTAGGCGCCCGATTCCCAGTTTTGTCTCCATAATTATGTGCCCTAAGAGAGTTGCCCACGTCCCACACAGCTGGATCTGCTCTACCCCTGGCTCTGGCATGATGCTGGTATGCAGGAGACCCGAGAACCAATGAGCTTAGTTAAGTGCCTACTGTGTATCTGGCACAGAATTATACCATAGAGAAACAGAAAGAGCATTGAGTCTCAAGTGGCCCATAGCCCATGGGAGGGTAAAACTATCTTTAAATAATATCAATCCAGTTGAATACATTATAGGACAGGGTATGTGTGTGTGTGTGAGAGGCCATGGGAGGCAGAGGAGGGAGATGTCAGGGTTAAGCCTGTCCCCTGATGAGGGAGTCTCAATGCCAGCTCTACCACTAGCTAGCCAGGGAGTTTGGTTGCTTGCAGGAGCTACAGAGGCTTTTTGGGTTGGTAAAACTGTGATAAATGACAGGCTATTGACAAGGCATAAGTACAAAGAGAAGGGAAACTGCAGGCTGTGAGATACAGCACCAGCAAGGCCATCCCCTCTGTGGTCCTCAGTTTCCCCTGTGCAATATGGCTGGGTCTTACTGTATTTGCTAATGTCCTTACTTGCTTGAAGATGCTGTGAATTTGAAGATAAGGTGGAATTGGGGGCTTGGAGGGGGGTATGTGGCTGCTCATCCCCTGACCACCCCAACTAAAAGCTCCTTTCCTCTCCTGCAGGCAGGGAAGAAGTGTTTGGCTGTGTACCAGCCAGAGGTACCCATGAACTTCACTCTCGCAAGCTGCGTCAGCACACGCTCCTACCAACCCAAGTACTGTGGGGTCTGCACAGACAACAGGTGCTGCATCCCCTACAAGTCCAAGACCATCAATGTCCCCTTCCAGTGTCCTGACGGACCCAGCTTCTCCCGCCAGGTCCTATGGATTAACGCCTGCTTCTGCAACCTGAGCTGTAAGAATCCCAACGACATGTTTGCTGACTTGGAAGCCTACCCTGATTTGTCAGAAATTGCCAATTAGGCAGGCACAGATTAAGAAGCCCGAGACCAGACCCAGTGCCTGCAAAGCAGCAGCCTTCTGTGGCCAATAACTTCCCATCACTGAGCCTTCTCTTGTCCACTTCCTAGTCACTTCTAAGTACCCTGATGTGGACCTTCGGCCTCCTTTCCTGTCTCCAACCACCCAAATGACCCATGATGGTGCTGCTCGGGCCCAGACTATGAGTCCCCTCTTCGGCAGCATTCTGCATCCACTGCAAAGAAAATACTTGTCTCCAGCTGTTCTGGACAAGACCCAAGCCTGATCCAGCCTGTCCAAATCACTGGAAGTCCTGCTAGATCATGTCCTTGTCCCAAGGAATGGAATCAGATCGACATTAAACATTACTAATTCCCTCTTTAGATGCCAAACCACAAGACACTTCTAGTCCATTCAGAAAAACAGACGGGATTTGGGACTATAGAATGATCTATTATTTGGACCCTGCCAAGTGGCACGGTAATGGGTAGTTCTGACCACAGCATACCAAAAGTCGCTCTGATTCCAAAGATATGTGCACCCCAAGGTCAGCAAACATTTGCCAAGTGAGGTGAATGGTTGTGTGGTTTTGATTTTTGATGAAAAGTTGTCTACATTAGCCTAGGCATTGTTGAGGTCAGGTTTCTTTTCATTCCTACACGGTGAAGGGTACAAGTTTGGTTCATCCCATTCAGAAATGCATGATCAACATCATTATGGTTTGTGGGAAAACCCCCAGTTCACACTACAGGGACAGGGCAAGGTCAGCCAATTTTAGAAAGAGCGATTGATCTTAGCCCCAAGTCTGTTGCTGATTGCCAGGGCTTCAGAGCTGACAGGGCTGTTCCTTGCATCCTGACTCTCTCCCTGCTTGGAGCTCATGGGAGCTGGTGGAGCCCCTGGGATGACCTCTCTGGCCCCTGAGAGTGGTATCCCAGAACATTCCTCTACTCTTATGGAGGCTTGGGAGACCCAGCTGAATACCAGGTTAGACCCACCTGAAATGACCGAGACAGGTCCAGGTTGATGTGGGTCCAACCAAGAAGTGGGTCCACTCTGCATCAGACTGAGGTGGCCTCCAGAACTGGAGGCTATGGAACTACAAGGCCAAGGACACATCTCTTTTTGCCACAGCAACCCATTTCACAGCCTTTGGGTTTGCTGACTGTAACGACCCAGTTTTCTGGTGAGAAGACAAAGGTTTACCAGTTGTTTAGAAATAGAAATATATTTAATGGGGGTTAAAAGCCAAAAGGGGTTGAAGCTAAAAGGACGAAAAGGTTGTTATTACTGGAAATGAGGCTATTATTTATTTTATTAGTAAAATATGAGTATTTACTGTAATAATTCTTTTATTTAGTACCTTCTATTTTCCAGACACTGTTCTCAGTGCTTTGCATATACTGGCTCATTGAATCTTCACAATCATGTTGTCATTACTATGTGTGTTCTTACAGCTGCCAAACAAGCTCAGAGAGGTAAAGGAATCTTGAACAACTCCACCCAGCCAATGAGGGGAGGAGCTGCGATTCAAACCCGAGTTTGATTGACTTCATAACCCACGTTTCTCCTCTGTGTTCTTACAGCTGCCAAACAAGCTCAGAGAGGTAAAGGAATCTTGAACAACTCCACCCAGCCAGTGAGGGGAGGAGCTGCGATTCAAACCCGAGTTTGATTGACTTCATAACCCACGTTTCTCCTCTACTTTTAGAACTTCCAAATGTGTCAGAATAGGAAAACATACTGGGCCACTTCTTGCTCTCAGGTTTTGCTGTTATTAATGTGTTTCTAGCTCCTTTCCCAACAGAAAAGTGTCTGGTTTTCAGATAATTTAGGTACCAAAGCATCCAGAAAAAAAAAGGCAATAGACAAAAATCTATGCATCTCCGATAGATCATGTGCTCCTTCAAATCAGAACCAGCACTCATCAGGTATTTAAAAGATAATTCTGTTTACCTAATGCTGCATATTGAATGCTGTGCAATTACTCTTTATAGAATTAGGTGCAGCATTCAGAGGGATTCCTAAACAGGAAAAAGGACCGGGAGGTGTTCTTCCTTCTTATGGTGACCTCCTGAAAACCTAGCCCAGTGCAAGGTTGACAGTGGGTTCAATATGAATTTGATGAATAAAGGAAATTGTGTGTGTGCTCTTACTTTTATTCAGAAGCTCTCTTCTTCCAAAGTTATATGAAAATCTAATTTTTATCAGCCAAAATCTTACATCAAGTGCAAAAGGAAAATAAACATCTAATTTTTAAAGAATGTGTACATATATGTGCAAGAATACACGTACACATACACACACATATGCAAGAATTCTTGTGTATTGAGAATTGACTCCATGAATAATCTCTTTCATAAATGTGTGAAGTATGCTGAATTTTCCTAGAGTGAAATACCTGCCATCTACAAATTGCAAGGCTAGATAACAGCTAACTCCATTTGAAATTCAGTAGAAACCCCAGAGCTAGGTTCTTACTGAAATTTGTAACCCAATTTGGGAAACGGAGTGTAGCTTCAGTGTAGGATGCCTAGTTGGAGGAATTGGGTATTTTCCTGAAAATGGGTGAGATGGGATGACCAGAATGACCCAGTTACTGTTGGTTCTGAGAAATGGACCTGCCCTATGCAGGACCAAATGTAAAGTCTCAGATCCATGAGTTGAAGTCCCATGGGGAAGGAGATTTGGGCCCAAAGTCATGAAGATCTTTCCAGCAGTCAGAATGATCCTGCATTGTTATGGCCTGCTTCAATAAAAAATTAAGGATAATAATCACAGTGAAAATTTTCCATTTGTTGAGCACTATCCTAAGTTTTTCATTATCTTGTTAATTATCACAGCAACTTTGCATACCCAACTCTTCCTCATTTTGTAAATGGAAAATCTGAGAGTCAAAGAGGCTGAGAAGTTGGCCAAAAACATCTGAAAGTTGTAACCCAAACCCCAGTTTATCCTATCCGCTTGCTCTCATATGAATGTCTCCTAGTGGAGGATCACATTGGCAGAGGATTCAAATAGACCAAATAGATCGCCTCTCTGGTCCCTTGGAACTTCATGTTCTGAGATGAAAAAAGTTACACTGAGTTTAGTTAACCTTTGGTGAAGAAATTCACGTTAGAGCTCAGATGAATTTCTCTGGTGTGTTTAGATGTTTGGACAGGGAGGGAGACCTGAATTCAGCAAGCCCCTAATTCTTGCTAACCCTTACTACAAGCATTTGGTGAGTCGTTAGCACATGCCAGGCCCTCAGCTAGGTGCTTTACTGCCATATCTTATTTAATTATCATAGCAAACCTATGCAATATGGCATTATTATTATTTCCCTGTTTTCAAGATAAGAAAGCTGAGTCTCATAGAGGTTAAGTAATTTGCTAGTGATAGCAGACAGGGATCCCAAACCCAGGACAGTCTGATACCTGAGCCATCTCTCCTGACACTAAACCCAGTTATATTGTCCCCCAAATCAGAAGGTATGACCTTTACAGGAGGTGCTTTACTGGAAATAGCTACAATTCTAACTTTGAAAGTGATTCAGACGGTGATCAAAGAAAGATTGAAATGATATGATTGTCCATAATCTCACTACATTGTACTGTGTATCCATAGCAATTATGAAGAAGCAATATAGCTAAGGACTATAATGTTGAATTATGTCACTGCTTTTTGAGGACTTATTTTGATGGGAAGCATCACAATCATAACCCTGCAGAGCTGGGAATCATGAATTGTCATAACGGTCAACTGTCTCTACACATATTTATGTATGTACATATCTATTTTTGAACTGTGATTTAATATTTAAATATTTCTACTGCCATTTTTATACGTGTCTAAAAAATACATACAAAGAAATTTCTTGCAATTTCCCAATAGCGGAAAAATAGCACTTGGGCAATCTGTCATGTTTTACGACATTCCTCATTTCTCTTATGATTTGCGTAGCGTGGAATGTTTGTTCAATGTGAAGCGTTCTTGTTTTTCAAATTTTCTGTTTACAGCTTTTCTCCTTAAAGTAATAAATCTTCAGCAAAGTAACTTACTGGACTTGGTGAGTTTTCTGTATGTTCAGTTGTTACGAGGCAATGATGGAGCATTGAGCACATTCAGTAAATTTGCAGATGGTGCAGATCATGTCTCAGATATTTTACATACAGAAATAAAGGTTAAAGGTTAAAGGTTCAGGGATGGGCTTAGAAACATGAATTCTGGAATTCAGAGAAGACCAGAGTTGCAGCTTAAAGGTTCAGGGATGGGCTTAGAAACATGAATTCTGGAATTCAGAGAAGACCAGAGTTGCCAAAGTATCCAGGCTGGAAGACACTTCATGTAAATATGAAATGGAATTTCCAGCATTTATTGATTCATTCTGTTGGGAAAATAGAATGGTTTGGTCAGGACCCTTGCCTCAGGTCCAGTTGGGTGTGGTTCAGCACATTCTTTCTAAGGAAATTTTTTGTTTGTTTGTTTGTGTGTGTGTGTGTGTGTGTGTGTGTGTGTGTGTGTGTGTGTGTGGAGTTAGTGTGCATGCGCGCCAATGTATCTTTTTAGTTTTGTTGCTATTCTTGTGTGCTTCAGAGTTTGTGAAGCAGCTTCCAAGGGCCTTTTGGCTGGTTACCTAGCTCATAGACCTGCGTGCAAGGGGTCTGGGGACCCAGCCTGGCCTGTGAGGGGTCTGGTGACCCGGCCTGGTGACCTGGCCTGGCATGTGAAGGATTTGTGACCCAGTCTGTGAATGGGCTTGAGGGGTCTGTGAGCTCCAGACC